GGCAGCTGGAAGCTGGCTCCACAGCCAGACACTGAGTCAAATGGACCGAACAGCCAAACACCCAGGATGCGGAAACGCCCCACGCAGGGCGCACATACCTACACAGCTTCGTGCACACTGAGGCTGGCCCCACAGAGGCACAGCACAAAGCTGAAGCGACAAGGACTGGGGTCCTCAAGAAAACTGCAGTGATATTCACCGCCTTCTGTTAAGAGGACAGGGATGTAAACAAGCTCTCGGGGTGGACGAGGAGCCTCAGAAATGGCCAGGATGACGAGTTTCCCACCGACGTAACGGACGTGACTGTGGCTCAATGTGCTGCCCTCCTGGGTTTAATCTGTTAGCATAGGTCAGACGGGCGGACGGCCCTTCGTCTCTGCAAAGGAGATGAGTGGGTTTTGTCTCAAATACAGAGAGTGTCGTCGGATGCAGACCTAAGACCCCGGAAGCCGCAAGCTCGGGAAACAGGATCACGGCTGCCAGGTTACCAAGGTGTGTCGCCTGCCGCTGCCGTTACATCACGTGTCCTCATGGGATGGATATGCGTTTGTGCCTGAAGGCTTATCCCAGGCGCGGTGGCCACGGCGAGGCCGGGTGTGGGCACGCAGGCGTTCGGCGGGCGGCGCCGTCTGAGCACGCTCTGAGGCCCCACTCGGAGGCAGCCGGGACAGTGAGGTGTATGGAGAGCTGGCACCTGAGGACTGGTAGTTGTCTTTCGATTCCCGGCACACACCATGCTGCCACCAGTCGGCATCTAACAAACAAATGCCTGATCCCGTAACACAGCTGACAGCCTTTCTAGACATTGGCTCATCCCTCTCTGACTTCCCCACCAGAGTGCTCATAGATCAGCCTTGAGACAGTGATTTACCTCCATGCCTCAGAAATAGGATCGTCGGTGTGTTTGCAGTGGAGGGGCCGACATGGTGCCATTTGTCTGAATCTCAATCCCGTCTCCGTTGTTTCTGATGGTTTAGTTAAGACCAGGAAACCTGACTGAGTGTTGTGCTGCTTTTGTTGGTGGGAATGACCCGTGTCTCCCACCTGCACTGTAATATTTCTGGATGGCAGTCGGAATGTTTTATGGTCCTCTGTCTTGCACCAGAAAACAACAAGTTTAACCGTTTGCCTCTTTCTCTCTAGCGGAAGACAATAGCCTGTCTCAGAAGAAGAAGGTCACAGTGGAAGACCTCTTCAGCGAGGAGTTCAAAGTTCACGACCCCGAGGCTAAGTGGATAAGTGGTGAGTGCTGGGTCCTGGGGGCGCACGAGCAACCCCTTCCTCTGTTGACAGCGTGGCTTTCATGGTTTGCCTCGCAGTTCTCTCCTTGGCTGTGGCAACAGGTCCACAGAGCTCTGGCTGTGGTAATCGTCGTGTTATCATTCTAAGAAAACGCGTATCTGATCAAACGGGGCTGCTCCTTCATGAGAGACCGGCCTCTGTGCCATCTCCCTGCGTCCTGTCCCTCCCACAGAGATGGCAGATGTTGCTAGGCAACGAGAACGGGCAGACACTCAGCCGAGCGCCTCCCTTACCCTGCCCCTGGTCCCCCGTCCTGCTCCGTGGGCTCACACTCCCCACTAGATAGAGGCGCCAAGAGGAATGAGATGGAGTCTTCTGGGATAAACGCACCCGCGCAGCTCAGTGCTCAGAGGCAGGCACACTCATTTTCCCCTTGAACTTGAATCTGGATGAAATCTGCTTTTCTTGTTTTGATGGATTTTTTTTTAAACAAAATGGAACTGAAGACAAAGAATTGCATTGTTTGGTTCAGGACATAATCCATTCTCTCTCGTTGGGTGTGAAATGGTTGTTGAGGGCAGTCTCGGGAGAAAAGATGCAAATGACCGCTCGCCCGTCCTCTGCAGCCTGGTCCCTCTGGGGCCACCTCGTCGGAGCACCTCTCCGGCTTTCTCCGGAATGTGGTTTGCACTTAGTTTTAGCCTCATTGAGGTGCCCTTGAAAAGTAATCCTCAGGTCAGAGGACCTGCATAAGTAACGTGCTAGAGGTCTAGTTCAAATCCTGGCTTTTACAATAAATGACACTCAGAGAGGTTAAGTGACTTTCCTGAGGCCACAGAACCCATGGCCAGCGGCGGTTGCAAGCCTGTCTCCCGCCCTCTCGTTCAGTGCTCTCTGCGCTCTGTTTTGCTGAGTGACACAGTGGCATTGTGTTCTTGCTGTCACACTGCCTCTGAAAGGCTTCTCATGCCTCACAAACTCTCAGACATTACCTGGCAGTGACCCTTTGCCGTCTGTCTCCTACCGGGCGACAGCTTGTCCTCTGTCCTGTGCTGTGGCTTCAGGGTGACGTCTGATCTCAGGTTGGCTCCGCCTCCAAACTGCCCAGCGCCCGCCTCAGCCTCGGTGAGACATCTGGGCTCCTGGCACCATCAGCATACAGCCCACTCAGAGGGGTCAGGAGTGGGGACACGTGCGACAGCAGGCAGGCCTCCCCCGTGGCCCCTTAGGCAGTGGCTCTGATACAAGGAGGAGGGGTCCCTTAAGGGGCTGGAGTGGAGTTTTTAGGGTTCCAGCCTGTGGGTATCTGAATTCCTCAGACCTCTCGTTTCTTCTCACAGTGACTACCCCCCGCCAGCAATCATTTACTCCCACAACTTTAGTTACTATCTATCCATGAGTTTCTTTTATTTTTAACTGTTTTGTCAAATTTTCAGTGTTATTTAGTTTGTTTTTGTTTTTTTAGGTTTTGATTTATTTTCCAATTGCAGTGGACATACAATATTATATTACTGTCAGGTGTACAACATAGTGATTAGACATTTATATACCTTGGGAAGTGATCCCCTAAGTCTAGTCCCTACCTGGCACCATATGTAGTTATTACAGTATTACTGACTCTATTCCCTGTGCTGTACTTTACATCCCCATGACTATTTTGTAACTACCAATTTCTACTTCTTAATCCCTTCACTTTTTCCACCCAACCCCCCCAACCCCCTCCCATCTGGCAACCATCAGTTTGGTCTCTGTATCTATAAGTCTGCTTCTCTTTTGTTCTGTTCTTTTTTTTTTTTTGATTGCACATATAAGTGAAATCATACGGCATTTGTCTTTCTCTGTCTGACTTACTTCACTCAGCATAACACCCTCTAGGTCCATCCATGCTATTGCAGATGGTAGGATTTCCTTCTTTTTGATGCTGAGTAATAGTCCATTATTTATAGCTTCAGTTCTGTACCTCCAGCTCAGATGCTTTTCTGAGCTATGGACTTGTACAGTGGTGTGTGTGCGTGCGTGCGTGTGTGTGTGTGTGTGTGTGTGTGTGTGTGTGTGTGACTGACTTCTTCGCGTGTCCACTGGGATGTCTTGCAGACACCTCAGGCTCCCCTGTCCTGCGCAAAGCTGCCCTGGCCAGTCTCTCCATTGCGGAACTTCCTCTGCTCCTTGCTGCTCTGAGGATGAGACACAGTCTCAGCCCACAAGCCCCCCAGGACTTGGACCCCACCATCAGTCTCCTGCTCACTTTTCTGCCTCAGCCTTGGGCATCTCCCCAGTCCCCAGTTTTACCTCACTCTGAGCCGGCTTGAACGTCCTTTTTTCCTTACGTAGGATGTTTCTTCTGCCCAGAACCTTCTCTCTTCCCCCCTGCTCACTTGTCATCCATCCCCACTGCCACCCCTACAATTGTCATTTTCCTTCCGGCGTCGTTCTAAGCCTCAGTCCTCAAGCAGGCTTGCCTGCCCTGCCTGAACCTCTAGTGCTGGGTTCTCATGGATCCTGGGCTTAGCCTTGGGTTTCGTACCTTAAGTCAGATTATGGACGCCACGTCTGTCCTTCCTTCCGCACACGTGGGAGCCACGTCTGTCTACTTGCCATGGTATCCCCAGCACCTACAAAAGACCAGGCATGTGCATGTTAGTTCTTCTGCAACGTGTCCTCACTGACACTCACACAGCCTCGTTTTAAAGGTAAGGAAACTGAGGGGCAGGTTACTCTCCGTAGAGCGGTTGGGAATCTTTTCTGATGACATGATTTTAAGCAGAGACCCGACTGTGAGAATCTGGCAGATGAGCTGTCTGAGGGAAAAGCATTGCAGGGGACATGGCACAGACATGGCAAAGGCCCTGATGCGACAAGGCGGAGCCAGGGAGGAAAGTGGGACCAGGTTAGGCAGGTTCTTGGGAGATGGGTGGGCACGCGAGAATGGGGTAGATTATAGAAAAACGGAGGAGTCGGGCTGGACCCGGTGGAACGGAAGGTGTTGTAAGAGTGGAATGGCATGGCGACAGCTTAGGCTTAGGGCCGTATCAAACATTTTTATTATCTACGTGTTACGTATTTACTTGAGTAAATTAGGAAACAGAGTCCACCACAACTTGAGTAGATAATAAAAATCACCTGTAACTCTACTAACTAGAAATAACCACCATTGAATGTGCGTGCTGATCCTTTCCGATAGCATGGGACAATACTAAGTGTATTAAGTGGGGGAAATTGTAGGATGTAGATCATAAACACGTTTCCACGTGAATCAGTCCATATTTCCATTATCATTTCAGTGTCTCAGTAGGATCTCATCACATAAGTGTACCTTCATTTGGTGGGTCTTCAGGTATGAAAGTTTCGGTCGCGAGGGGAACCGAGGTGACCGATCTAAACACCTTGGTGGCTGATGAATGAGTAAGATGTGCCAGCTCAGCAGAAATGGAGGGACGGGGAAGGAGTCTGGTGAGGGACAACGGGAGATGCTAAGGCTGGTGAGCAAAAGCAGAGACTCCATTGACAGGGCGTCCGTTCTGTGAATAGGTAACGAGTTCCGGGTGGAAGCCAACAAACGATACCTAAGTGGAAACCTGCTTCCAGCCTGGAAAACTGGGCGTGGAGCTAGGAGAGAGCCCAGAGCCACCCGGAGAAGGCTGGAAAGTGTGTGTCACTGGGGAGCTGCTGTGAGGCTCTTGGGGAAGAGAGGAGGGGCCTGAAGGGTCCCGACAGGCCCGAGGGCACAGGAAGAGACCCCGGTGATGCAGCATCAAAGCAGGCACAGGGAAAGTGGCTTAGGAGAGCTCGCGCTCTGCGGCTTTGTGATGGGGGGTGGACAAGGCGTCAGGGAGAAAACGCCCCATGGCCCAGGGACGTGTTCCCTGCTGGTCGTCTGGACATCCTAACTCATGTTTGGGTTTGGGGTCTCCCCTCACCACACCAGCTTATCTAGCAAATACACTCTTACGAATCCCGTTTCAGTCCAAATGGGGGCAGGAAAGGCTGGTTGTAGAAAGAGGGTGTCATATCGTTATAGCACCGCTCTCCACCCTCCTGTCTTTGCACCTATAGATGACAGGACAGTCTTCTCTGAATCCGTGGATCTGGGCCCTCTGCACAGGTGGTCTGACACCAGAGCTCCTGGTCACGCCCCTGAGTGACACATGCAGATACACATATTTGCTTTTGCGGAGTCACTTCTCACGAAGGCAGCCTGGACCCAGCCTTGGAAATGGCCTGATGAGCCCCATGCTGTGCTCTGAACAGGCCGAGGCACCTGCACCCTTCAGGGGACCTGCTGTCCCCTCCTGGTGTCTGTAGGGTACATGCTGCTGGCCTCGCAGCCGCTCTGCCCCTCCCTGTGGCCTGGTGGCAGCTTCAGCCAGAACGCAGGGGAAGACCCTGTGGGTGGTTCCAGAAACTCCACCTCTGCCTGTTTCTGCTCATCTCCATTAATCCAGCCACTTGTGAGCAGAAAGCCCTCTGTGCCTCATGCAACACGAGAGAGACGGTAATGTTGGAGAAAATTGCTTCCTTTGAATGTAGGAAAATATCAGCTGGCTGGCCAATCCTGGAAAAATGTATGTTTCCGCAGACAAAATTGGAGATAACACACAGGGCTCAAAGCAACTTGAAGCCCTGTTATTTGGAAAACAATATTTTTGATTTTTTTTTTAATAAAGCTCACAGGGTTACATAGAGGGGAGATTCAAGTGTAAAATGGTTTGGGTATTTCTGCTGCCTTTTGAAGGCCACATGTTTCAATCAAAACCATTGAGTGTTAGAATCGTGGCGAGTGAGCAAGTCCCCTGGACGTCATTTGTGCAGCCGACACCAAGTGGCCACAATAACTGCAGGGAGATGGGCGGGAAGGAGAGGTTTCCAAGAGCCAGATGCTCCTCAGCGGCTCAGTGTGTGGATGGAGATAATACTACGTGTTTCCCCAAAAATAAGACCTAACCGGAAAAGAAGCCCTAGCATGACTTTTCAGGATGCTCGTAATATAAGCCCTACCCCAA